TCCCTCCTAGTCTGATTTAAGGAAAGGTACTAAAGATCAGAAGGTCGGTGGTTCGAATCCCCACAACGGGGTGAGCTCCCGTTGCTCGGTTTCTGCTCCTGCCAACCTAGCAGTTCGAAAGCATATCAAAGTGCAAGTAGATAAATAGGTACCACTCCAGTGGGAAGGTAAACGGTGTTTCCGTGTGCTGCTCTGGTTCGCCAGAAACGGCTTAGTCATTCTGGCCACATGACCCGGAAGCTGTATGCTGCCTCCTTCAGCCAATAAAGCGAGATGAGTGCCACAACCCCAGAGTCGGCCACGACTGGACCTAATGGTCAGGGGTCCCTTTACCTCTACCTTTACTAAAGATACAAAATGTCTGTGCTTATCACCCTTTTAAAGCCAGGGTTTAGAATAGTTAAGACAGTGACAGAGACGTAAAAACATAAAAGATGCAAACCATTTTGTGACCTCCTGTGGTGAAAAGCGGACTGTATTGGAATTGAGTGAATAATGAATAAATTTACAAAATGTTGCCACGGGGGGGGGGGGCAGGGGCAGAGAGGAATATGCAGTAGTTAGAAGGATTTTGCTTACCGTAATTTCCACGGTTATAGAAACATATAGGACTAGAATGAATGGGCTTCAGTTAAAAGATTAGAGGTGTGGGCTGAAGGATTTCCTGCATTGCAGGGGTTGGAGTAGATGTCCCTCAGGGTCCTTCCAACTTTACAATTCCATGATTCTAAATTTATTGACAGCAACAGCAGTGTGACAATGGAACCAGTTACCTAGAAGGGGTGGTGAACTCTATCTCACTCAAGATTTTCAAGCAGAGAATGTGCAGCTATCTATTGGAGATTATTTCAGAATGGAATTTCTTGAAACTGAGGCAGGAGGTTGAACTAGAGGGCCTCAAAAGACTTATCCAACTCTTCTGATGGGTTACTGACATTTAGACATTTCTGCGGTGTAACACAACTACTCCCAACCTGGTGAACCAAACATATTTTGTGCTACAATCATCCCTGACCATTCCCCATGCTGACTATAGCTGATGGGAGTTGTAGCTCAAAACACCTGGAATGTACCGGGATCAGGAAGGCTGATGTATGATCTGGGTTGATTTTTTAAAAATATCTCTATGTCTTCAGTTTAGCAGTCTTCTGGTGGTGCCTTCCCTGGCTCCTTTCCCTCCCCTAGAACCTACTTCCTCTTGCGATACAAGCAGAAAGAGCCCAAGAAAGTCTCACATAAGGGTACTGGTAAAAATGTTTTGGAATAAGGGATGAGCTGAGATCTGTACTTTAGCGGGCCTTAAAGGTAAAGGGATCATTAGGTTCAGTCACGGACGACTCTGGGGTTGCGGTGCTCATCTCACTTTACTGGCCGAGGGAGCCGGCGTACAGTTTCCAGGTCATGTGGCCAGCATGATTAAGCCGCTTCTGGCGAACCAGAGCAGCGCATGGAAACGCTGCTTACCTCCCCGCCGGAGCGGTACCTATTTATCTACTTGCACTTTGACATGCTTTTGAGCTGCTAGGTTGGCAGGAGCTGGGACCGAACAACGGGAGTTCACCCCGTCGTGGGGATTTGAATCGCCAACCTTCTGATTGGCAAGCCCTAGGCTCTGTGGTGTAGACCACAGCACCGCCCGCGTCCCTTTAGCAGGCCTTAGTTTTGTAATAACAAAAGTTTGTAATATGACCTAAGAATGCCAGAATATGGCATTAGGAGAAGACAACTTTAGGGAGATATTGGCAACTACGAATGCCTGAATATATACAAGGCTACCGCCTATGATTCCCTTAGTTTTGTTAGAGGGTCTCAGGTGCAAGGTAAAGGATTTCAATGTGAATTGAAGTAGAGCAGTTTAACTCTCAAGGTATCGTATTATCTGAAAACATAACAGGTGCAGAGATTCATTTGAAGTTTAGAGGTTTCTTTCAGTCCATTAAACCTTTTCTGCATTTGCTTCCTGTGAACAGGCTGCTACAGATACTTGCTTTTATCGCTATAAACTTCAGAACACACATCACCCTGTAGAACGGCACAGTCTTCTGCTTCTGTTGACACTTGGTAGCTTTGTTAACAGAGGGGAAGGTTGACAAACAGCAGTGATGGCACATCACACAAACACTCACTTGTCAAACCAGAGTTGGAGAAGAAATACAGGCTAAAAGTTGCCTGAATCTAGACAGCTGCCCAGGAAGTGTAAAGGGCAGGGCAAATGTTGCACATTCCTCATCCGCCCATTGCCAGGGTTGCCAACGCATTGCCTCCTACACTGAAGCCAGGAGTACATTTACTAAGAATTCAGCTTGAAAACATGGCCCTGATGCTCAAAAATGCTACACCCACTAGAAACTATTTGCTCTGGCTTAACTGGTTTGTGGTTCAGACCTGCTGTGACTCCCGCTGCAATTCCAGCATTAAGCAGGAAACACAATACAGAACAATCTCTTAACAGGGCAGGCAAAAGTATGCTTACCCTTTATGGCATCAATGACCTTTGAACGCCTTAGCTCCGCTGCTGTGTTTAATCATCCACAAATACCATTTGTTGACTTGTTTGTGCTTCCACGGCGAACATTATCCCCAACAGCTCAGGACACACCCACATTCAGCAAGTGTGCACAATAGCACTACAGAGGAAAGTTCATGTAAAGTTTTCAACTGTCTAGCACAGGGACAGAAAACCCTTCCTGTTGTAAAGGACCATGCTGCCATTTATAAATTTGTTTGTGGGCTGCATGGAACATATACTGCACTAACAAAACTCTCAGAGATACAAGCTTCAGCACATACAGTATAGAGAAAAGAAAATATGTACAGCAGGGGATGGGAGGAGACATATCAGTTGCAGGAGCCAAATATGGCCCCATTTGATCTTCAGGACATTCCCCCATCACACACAGCCAGCCCATAATACTTCCCTCACTGGCAACCCACCCACCTTTCAGCTGGTTGGATTGTGTCTTTGAATTTTGATAATGCATCTTGTTGGGATGGAAGATAGAGAGATGTGTGCAGAAACTAGACACACAGTGATACAGAGGTAATTTGTTGCTCTGTTCATTTTTGCCTGCGCATGGGCCCTTGCCCAGAAGAAGTGTGGCCCTTGCATTGCCCTCACTCCTGATGTATACGGACATATGCTTACATTTTTCCTCCGCTTGTCAATTCTATACAATGCTAAGTCACAGCAGACTATCTAGCCAACCAAGCTGGGACTGTGTGTACTTGTGTAGCTAACTAACACAATCACAATGCTTGTTTTGCTGCAGAAGTTTGGTTCCATGCCCTCATGCATTATTGTGGGGTTTTTTTAATGGCAAGGACTACTTCCTTCACCTGCGAGGGGCTTTTACTTTGCCCTAGATATGCATACTTCAGAACATATTATCTGTCTTTTAGTTTAGCTTCCTTGACTGCCACCCCACCCCAGCAACACTCTCTTAGTTTTCCTATGGAAATGCTTGCTTCACAAGTCGATTCGCATCTTATTTGCAGCTTAAGAAGCCCAGCTTTCGCTGCATGCTTTTTTTATGTAAAGAGCATCACACAGATGGAATTTGCTAATTGGAATGCTGCCCTTCCTGCAGTACACAATGCCCGGTTCAAAACGTTCAATCGCTCCCCAAACATTTTCAAGAGAAATAACATTCAAATGCGCTTAGTGACGAACAGTACTGTGAAGAATGCTATGGGTTCTGTTCTAAAAATAATCCTACCTACCATGCCCAATGCATTAAAATACTACTTCACCTGAGGGAACTCACCTCTTCTTTGTTTTGTTTTAAAAATAATTTATTACCTATAAACATTTTGGTCAGCAACTCACGTTCCAACTGGTGAGATATTTTTAACACATCTGGCTATCAACACCTCCCTTCTCCCAAACATCTTCCAGTAGGTGAAGAGCTGTGTCTTGGTACAGCCCCTCTCATTATACAACACGGATGCTCGCCTTAAGATACCAAGGCTTCTGATTCCAGCCCCCACACTGCACTTATGCCATCAGCAATAAAGTTGCTCTCTAGTTCTCCTCATCTTCTGAGGACCACGCTAGATGCTGCATAGACATCTATGATGGATCTGCCCCAACATGCTTTTCTTTGGTAAGCAGCAGCCATAGGGAATGAGCATTTGGATAACAGCTACACAGATTGGATGAGGAGCAATTTTACCCTTTCTTCAGTGGTAATCTGCCATAAAATGTCTATTTTGGTTCAGTATCACTCTTCCTGCTATGGAAGGGTTAAATGTTGACTCACTGCGCAAGGGAATGTGGTGTAAAAATATATTTACCTGTATCCCCCAGGGGGGAAATAGCTAATGTGTCCAACACAGGAAGTGTTAAGAGCCCCTAGACCTGAAGTTGCTTATCCCTATTAAAAATACATTTTCTGTTTCAAATGGTGCAATGAAACAAACTAATCTGCTGTTTCAAAATATAATTCATTTGCTTAGCAACGGCAGGAGAGTTTGTTAAATTTAAATGAATACCATCATTGGAGGAAAGATAGGGGATTATGGTGGGAGTGAATAAAACACTAGATAAGTTACTTTAAAACTTGACCCAGATGTTGCATATGGAGGCAGGAAGTAAAGAGAGAGAGACGACTATCCTTTTAAAGGCAACATTAGTAATGCTTAGTAATTGTGTTGGTATGAAGAATGAGATGAAACCCAATTCAAGGAAAATATTGCTGTACATTACTAGGCTTGGCATAGCTTTACCAATATCAATACATTACGAACATGTTTGAACATCTAGTAAGTCTATACTGTAACATGCAAACAACAAGGGGGGAGCCAGATGTTGTTGGACTACAATTCCCATCATCCCTGACCTCCTGCCATACTGGGGCTGATGGGAGGGCACACAATGGCCAGTACTGCACCCAAACCTTATATTAATATCACCTCTAAAAATCCAATTTGCCAATGCTAATTTGAATAAACAAAATCCAGAAAGCAAAACTGACAATGCAAAAATATTATTTACGACTTACCAGACCAGCTATTGGTGTTGACAGACGATTAATCTTTCTAATGATGCCAGGTTTGATCTTGTTAATTAGACTAGAAAAGAATGAGAGTTAACCAGGTTTTATAATGCAATTTTACTCTAGGGCTAAACATAAGCATTAAAATTACAAAGTACTGCTCCTCTCATTTAAATTATACGAATCAATTAAACAGGTGACAACTGCCTTTGCCTCAGCTTTTCTACTGATAAAAAATATAACATATGGATGTGTACACGTATGTATCAAAAGACTTGGAAATGTAAAACAAACAAACAAAAATCTTTAAGCATGGGAAAATACATACTAAACAAATACAATGTACGGTAGTTACACAAAATATTGCTGTTCGTACCATGAAGCTGCATGCATAGACAAGAATCTTTTCTGTTTTGTTTTGTGCAACCTGCTATTTAAAAAAAAAGTTGTTTCAAACTTTCTACCTTCAGGGAACCCTTGGATTTACCCGCCAAGGAATCCCCCCTGTGCATTGCGAGAGTTTGGGAGTGTCTTAGAGCTGATGGTTCACAAGAACTGCTGGCCAGGCCTTTTGCTTGCCTCACCACAGCTTCAACTGCACAGAGAATGCAACTATCACATTGTAAGAAGAGACTAGTGAAAGGGACGGGCGGGGTTGTCTTTTAGAGAGGCTTATGCACCATTTTCAATTTTGGGAATTCATGAATTTCAATTCATTGGGAATAGCCTCTAAGAAGCTTCTGGGGAACTCTTGTGCTCCTCATTTAGAAAAGTTGTACTGACCAAGCAAGGACCAGTTCCCTTACTCAGACAGAACAAAAGCAAACACCACCCATGTAAGATAAGACTACACTTTGCTACGAAGAAGAGGGGGGAAAGTATTAGTCATCACTCCCATCATTACTACAGAGAAGGACAAACAAATGTGATTTGGGACAAAGTTGTTCAGTACCCTCTTGTAGCATATGCATCACAGCCAATTTACACAACCGGGAGATTCATCATACACTTAAAAAGCAGGTCCAACTAGAGCACTGACCAGTTCAGCATACGAAACTGGAGCTGAAATGAACGCTGGGCTTAGTCCAGCTGGCAGCAGCTACAGTTACACAGTGTTATGTGAACAGGCAGCACCCAAGTCTCCCCAAAGCAGATTTTTAACAAGGTAGAACTCAATCAAAATTCTGCCTCCAGTTTTGACAGTCCTAACAGAGTGGTTCACACAGGCAAGTAGCTCACAACTGCTTACTTGCCAAGGTTTTGTGGACTAACTCTACTGAAAGGCGTTAAGATAAATCACACATGCATGTCATCACTTGATGTGATGGTTGTCAGGTGGTGAGCTGTATGTGTGAACCAGCCCCACCAAGAATGAGGCATGGACTCCAAAGGTCTTAATTTAGGAAGATTCATTATGACAAAGTTGAAAAATTGCCTATAAATACAGTATCTGAAGCAAAATAAAACTTCAGAAACAGTAACAGCTCTGTCTCCCACAAGCCTGGTAGCCTAGATCACCGTAATTGAAGGTCTTCCATTTATATACAACAGCATGCCAACAGGTAAAAACATTTTTTTCTCAGTTCGCTCACAAATACTTGAGAATAAGTGGAGGGGAGAACATAAAGTGAATGATCTATAAACCCTAACCATAGAATTAAACAAGTTGCAGCAGTGCAGCTTTGCATTCTCAGAAAGAATTTCATTTCTAGAGGCTGCCATCCAAGATCTTTCTTGATTGCAAGTGGGTGCTCATTAGTATGAACGAAGGGAAGCTTCAAAAACGGGGGCAGTCCCATCTGCCAAATGCCAGATATTTTCACATTTCTATTGCCAAATATGACAAAAGCACTTAGGAAAATATATCTTTGAAAAGGGTACCTGGTAGGAGTTTTAAACCTTTCCAAAAACCACAACTACTTATTAAACATGTGGCAGAGGAAGAGAGGGAGAAGCACCATGCTGATGTTTCAAAAGGTTGGGGCACTGGGAGAATAGTACCATAACACTCCCAAATACTGACACTTTTGGGGTATCCTTTTGGTAGATAATATGTAAGAGAAGCCAGGAAGAGAAAGCTCCCTCTCCTCAGATGATTGAGGAATTTAACTGTAAATAGACTTTCAACAGAAACTGACCTGTGTGAATCAGGCTAATGTACAGGTAAGAACTTGGAGTTCTCCACTGACGAACACACTTTCCAAATGTTCCAAAACAGTTCTCAGTTTTTTAAAATATATATATATTTAAAATGCATATTTTGAGAGAAAATACAAATGAATGCTCATGTGTATTTCTTTCTCTTACCAAGTCACAACTTATGTTGGAATCGGGGTGGTATGCACTTAGGGGAAAACACATGCTACATATTGCATGTGATATGTATCATGTGATACATATTGAAAAACACACCAGCACCTTCCAGATGTTGTTGGATGCCCATCAGCCCCAGCCAATATGACCAATGGCCAGGGATTATGAGAGATGCAGCCCATCAACATCTGGACGACCACAGGCTCCCAACTTCTGAACTAAATTATCCTCAGATTTGGTGCTAATGAAACTGACCTTCTCTGCAGATTTTTTTGGCATCAATTGGCTGAAGAGGAGGACTGTGTCACATTATGCATGGGAATAATAGAAGTGGATAGATTTATACCAAAAATGCCTCTGTTGAAGGTGGTTAATGTTTAGTTTTATATGCATCAAACAAAGTATAGAAGAGAAATGCATTAAATAAAACACCCAAGAGCGCACACAATTATATTTTCAGTTGCAATTAAACATTTTTCATGTTAGCCATGGGGTGTGCAAGGCATCTTGGAAGACAAAGCAAAATACTAAGAAGTCTTGTAAGCCTGAGAAGGGCAGAACTGCTTCTGCTGTTGCACTCATCAATAGATGATCAACAGCTTTAAAAAGCTTTACAGATAAATGCTAGCCTTTTCTTGTCAAAAATACTTACTCACACAGGAGGACTCCATTTTCCAAAGCAGCACGGAAGTCGTTCTTTCCAAAACTTTTCCCAGTAGCTGCCTAGAAAGAAAACATATCACAAGCTGTCTTTTCAGAAAATGGGAAGCAAGAGAATGCAGCCCTTTACATCCATACATAGGATGTTATTTCTCAAGTCTGCAGTTTTACTCAGCATGGTGAAAAACCTCCCCGGCCCCCTTATCCTGGTGAGTGTGACAAGTTCCAATCTCCCTCCCAAGTTTGGACATAGAGAAGGGGCAGAATAAGATCCACACTATTGTGCTCAGTAGGCCTGAAAAGCACACAGGAGCTGCAAATATGATCTCTACCCTTCCCTAGTTCACCTAGGAAGAGACATTGACCCCAACCTCACACTGATTTTTGTAGGTTTGTAGTAATGTCGGGGCAACCACAGGTTTTGAGTTGACTGTCAGCATCCCTAATGATTATTCATGCTTATGAATGCAAGATATGCTATCTTTTAATGAGGGCACAGGTGACATTCTATCAGGGAAATGGCCCCGATAACAAATTTGCTACATTCTTAAGGTGTTTTACTTCAAGGGCCTGAAAGTTTGTTCAAAACTACGTCTACCATACTGTGTCTCTATTCGCACTTTTATTTTATTGGAAGCAGGGACAGGGCACACACCTCAGCTTCATAACCTGCAGGTTCCCATTGTATTTCATTCCTGCAACTTTCATTAAACATACAGGGTTAAAGGGTAAAGGTAAAGGGACCCCTGACTGTTAAGTCCAGTTGTGAACAACTTTGGGGTTGTGGCGCTCATCTCGCTTTACTGGCCAAGGGAGCCGACGTTTGTCTGCAGACAGTTTTTCCGGGTCATGTGGCCAGCATGACTGAGCCGCTTCTGGCGAAACATAGAGCAGCGCACGGAAATGCCCTTTACCTTCCCGCCGGAGCGGTACCTATTTATCTACTTGCACTTTGACGTGCTTTCGAACTGCTAGGTTGGCAGGAACTGCTAGGTTGTTATGCCTTAGCATATAAGTAATGCATTCATAACGACATTCAAGCCAGAAAAACAAATAGCTGCTAAACCCTCAAATGTCTTCCCACCCCCTTCATAAATTACCATTCTTCTGAACCATTCTTTTCTAATGGCATTCATCTTTTTAAACAGTTATACTAGGGTCTGTATTATTTGATCATTTGGATATTGCCCTCTACATGGAGCTGCCTTTAAAGACAATCTGGAAATTACAGTTAGTAGAGACATCACCTTGCCAACAAAGGTCCGTATAGTAAAAGCTATGGTTTTCCCAGTAGTGATGTATGGAAGTGAGAGCTGGACCATAAAGAAGGCTGATCGCCAAAGAATTGATGCTTTTGAATTATGGTGCTGGAGGAGACTCTTGAGAGTCCCATGGACTCCAAGAAGATCAAACGTATCCATTCTTAAGGAAATCAGCCCTGAGTGCTCACTGGAAGGACAGATCGTGAAGCTGCGGCTCCAATACTTTGGCCACCTCATGAGAAGAGAAGACTCCCTGGAAAAGACCCTGATGTTGGGAAAGATGGAGGGCACAAGGAGAAGGGGACGGCAGAGGACGAGATGGTTGGACAGTGTTCTTGAAGCTACCAGCATGAATTTGACCAAACTGCGGGAGGCAGTGGAGGACAGAAGTGCCTGGCGTGCTCTGGTCCCTGGTGTCACGAAGAGTCGGACACGACTAAACGACTAAACAACACAGTATGCCAAAGCAAGATAATAGAGACAGACATCAAGGATCCTGAACACTGATCCTGAAAGGTCAAAACTGCATGACCTAATCATTTCTAGGCTAAATTTAAGATGACTGTCTTATAAAGCCCTCTGATATCACTTGAGGGACCAGGTATATGAAATTCCACTTCATGTTGGCAGCCTGCCTGGGTGCTTAGATCAAGGGGAAGCTCTTTCATTGTTCCAGCACTAGGGTGATGACACAAGATAAGGCCTTTTTGGTGGTAGCACCCCAGTTAACATCAGTCTGCTGCTGCAATTGGTATGCTGGAATGTTTATTATGTATTTTATTTGTAATAATAATAATAATAATAATAATAATAATAATTTATTTATACCCCTCCCATCATGGCCTGCTTGTATTTCGTTACAGTTGTTAATTTAATTGCTGTTTTAGTCCACTCTGTGATTAATTGATGAAGGGAGGTTTAAAAATGTCCTTAATAAATAAATATCATAGGCGGCTAACAGTTTTATTTCTAAGGTACTTTAGTAAGTACGATATTTAAGAAATGCAATTAGGGGACAACTTGTACTTTCAACACACACAAAAAATGGGATGCATCAACTGGAATAGACCAAAAAAAGAGAGAATCAATCTCAATATACTGAAGAAAGAGTAGGTTGTACTCTCTCTTTTTAAATTCCTAGAGGAATACCTCATCTAGCTGAAACATGCTGGGCATCGTTAAATAGCTCATTCTGCATCTTGAGATCAGCGCATACTTTGCATCACAATGTCTAATCTCACTAGAAACTGCATACAGAAGGAATTACAGAACAGAGGTTTTTCCCAGCAGGCAACGCGCAGCATTCTCCACTGGCCAAGTTGACGCAAACTATGTTAACTAATCCCCACATCCCTGTGTCTGCTACCTTTGCCCTACAGCCTTGGTAATGATATCATGTATTAGATAGGGCATTGCTATTCATAAAAAGGTTTGATAAGAGCCTCTTACCTGCCTTTGATATGTTTTTGACATTAGAGATGTCTAGTAGCTGTGGATTTGCTGCCCATATCGCTTTGGTAGCCAGCATGACATTATATTTAAATGAACACTCAGCAAAGATAGCGTTGTTCAGTTCTCCCCAAGCTAAATCCAACCCTGCCCACTCTACTGTTCTGGCTCAGAAAAACAGAAAAAGACTGCTTCAAAAATGGCATTTGGCAACTGTTGTATGACTGCTGTTTAAAAGCCAAGATCTCTTTTACTACTCGTCCCCTTAAGCCATTAATATATCATATCACTGTGGTGATAAATCGTTAGCTTTTAAAGCATTATGATTCATACTTTGATCACACACACCATTCACCAACTGGTTAATTCAGAGGTGTGGTGTATTTCTTTAATCCACATCAATTAATGAAAAAGAAAAAGGAATCCAGTGTGTGTCGCATGCACCTCATTTGACAAATCACATTCCAGAAGAAAAGAGGCTATCAATTTCAGAGCATTCGACTTCCTTTACTCCAGTGCCTACACCCAAGTATAAGCCTGCTTTTCTTTCAATGCATAAAGAACTAATTATTTAAACAACATTTCTGAAATTCCTGTGTAATTACTTGCTTGCTACTATCAAAGTTTACTGAAGTAGATTCTCAATGCTCTTTGTGATATCCATACTTTAGTTCTAGGTTAGTCTTGTTGACTTCTTTTTCCGTGTGGCAAAAGAGAATATTAAGGATCTGAATATTTATGTGGAGTGAAACACTCACATTAACCAGGCATTACTAACTCGTAACATATAGAATTTACCCAATGACTACTGGAGAACTAAAAGCAGATAAGAATCATACTTAGGACATGGGCAGCCAACATGTCCATCCAGTTAAACCTTGTCTGGTGAACAGGCTATATCACACAGGGGTCCTTGCTGCTACAGTGGTGCCCCGCAAGACGAATGCCTCGCAAGACGAAAAACTCGCTAGTCGAAAGGGTTTTCCGTTTTTTGAGTTGTTCCGCAAGACGAATTTCCCTATGGGCTTGCTTCGCAAGACGAAACGTCTTGCGAGTTCTTGCGAGTTTGTTTCCTTTTTCTTAAAGCCGCTAAGCCGCTAATAGCCGTGCTTCGCAAGACGAAAAAACCGCAAGACGAAGAGACTCGCAGAATGGATTAATTTCATCTTGTGAGGCACCACTGTACTTGCTAAGTAATCATTTTTATTTATTTAGAATAATTTATATATTACTTAAATTTGTGGTTTCTAAGTGGTGTGCAATACACATACACATGCACACATATACAAAGATCAATTAAAATTAATAGGATCAGAGAAACTAGAAATTATATCCTGTCAATGGTACCCTTGTAAGATTTTAAGAGGTTATCTAGACCCTAGAATACAGTGGCTAATAAAAGTTATCATTTGAGTTGATTCCCATCTATTTTCATCTCACAACTAACAAGCAGCAAAATGTAAACACAATGCAAAATGGCTGCATTAGGAGATTCTTTCTGGGTACTGTGTTCCAGCGGTGGAGCCACCAACATACCTTAATGCACACTGGTTTGTGACATGAAGAGGCATTGCCAAGGCTGCTATTGCTGTGGGATACATACACCACATTGTAATTTAAATATTTAGTTATTGCTGGAAAATAAACAATAATTTGAAGTTTCCAGGAATAATAATAATCAATTCGGCAACATCTAGGAGAGCCAAGTTTCCCAAATTTGGTCTAGTGCAACAGTGCTATATCTTTTCCCGCAGGAGTTAAACGATGTGTAATTAATGCAAATAAAGGTAATTGTCCTAATTTAATTCTAGTGGCCATGCTTTTCAAACTATGCAGGAGTCACTCAGCATATTAAGCTAAATAAAGAGCAACAGTTAAACACCAAGTTTAAGAACTTATAAGAAAGACTGATTCAAACTGCCTAATTCAATTGACCTATATAAAAACAGTCAGCTTTGGAATTCAATGCTGGTATTACAAAGTAACTACCCTATTTCTAATAACATGTGTTACAGTAAGTTTGGGAGGAATGTATTTTGTAACAGACACCACTAACTTACTGTGATTATAGATTTTGCATTTCTGGTTGTAGTCCATTTCATTACTGGGATGCTTAAAGGAATGTGTTGCGCAATAAGATCTATAGCTTTACCAGAAGTTTCACATGGTACCTTTCATATCTAACTGGAGTGTTCCTTGATGAGGTAACCAAAACAGATTTGGGAACTAGGTCCTGACTTGTAAGGATTGCATTCCTCTGTGTCAGTGAAAGTTCTCTGTAAAGCAATACCATTCACGCAAGACCATGTTTTGTATTCTATTCCCCTTCCCCATCACAGCAGGGAGTTTGGG